CATACATACATACATACCTACAAACCTACATACATACATGCATACATGCGTACACGTACGTACACATACACACACACACACACACACACATACACACAGACAGACATGCATACATACGTTCACCCGGGAAACTGGGTCCCGGTTTCGTCCACCCCTGAAGCCGAAATTCCGAAGCTTTTGAAGACGAAGTTGTTCGCAAGGAGCTGAAGCTCAAATTGTGCGCGAAGACGAAATTTGAAGACGAAAATCGGCCATGAAGACGACTTTCCTGTGAAGACGAAATTCGGTTTGGGGCACGCTGAAGACGAAATTCCTTCGTGAAGACGAAATTCTTCCTGAAGACGAAATTCGGCCCGAAGACAGAATTACTCAGTGTTCTAGGCTCCGGAATGCTTCTCTGAAGACGAACTTCAGCCCTGAAGACGAAATTCGGCCCTGAAGACGAAATTCGGCCCTGAAGACGAACTTCGGCCCTGAAGACGAAATTCGGCCCTGGAGGCGAAATTCGGGCCTGAAGACGAAATTCGGCCCTGAAGGCGAAATTCGGGCCTGAAGACGAAATTCGGCCGCGAAGACGAAATTCGGTCCTGAAGAACTACCTTGTACAGTGCGCATCATACATATACGTATGCCTATATGTACACGTATAGGTACATGTTTACATTGTTTTTATATGCATCATACATATACGTACACATATGTACACGTATACGTACACACATACATATGCATATAACGTAGACTACATGCAATACACATAGACTTGCATGTGTACTGTATATGTAGTTGTCTAAATATGTGTAGTTACTTATTTTCATACATATGCACATACACATACACACAGATGCATACATGTACGCGCTGTTCCTATCCATAGTCCGCTCGTTTTGTCGTATTCTTCCTTCAAGAACAGAACCAATCGAAACCGCTCGAGCCACCCGTGTGTCTTATCCGCTTGCACTATTCGCCGGCTGGACGTCGATCTTCTGGAGGACACTGCTGGGTTACGAGGGATTGTGGCTTGCGATGCAGGTTGGGCATTCGGGTTTCGAAGTGCCGACGCATGAACTGTCGTCCTGTCATATTGGTTTACCTGTGGGATGAAGGCTATCCTGCGAAGGCTGAAGGGGCGACCGGTTTCCCAATCATACTGAACTAGTCATGAAGCTTTTGCCGCATGCGTACGTCTCCCAATGACCTCTCCCTTCACCTCCCTCGTGGCTGTTGTCAACCAGGTGTATTTGGAAGCCGTTTGTCGCGTTTGCAAGGTCACAGTATTATCAACTTTCTATTACAGATGTATCCATGCTTGCTTTTAAGATCATCCCGGTCTGCCCCAGCCTGCCCTTCTCCATAAACCCGTCTCGCCCCTGCTGGGCATTCTCCTTGCTTCTTGCTGGCTGCGTACTGGTCGGCTTTAGGCCGAAGCTGACACGTGGGGACACTTGAACTTGCAGTGTAGTAAACAGAGGTGTCAAATGTTTTTTGTATGGCTTTTTGGAGTGTGCGGACATATCCCTTTTATCGCAACTTCTGAGGCCAACCCTGGTCCACCAGTCGGAGTCGGTGCAGCTTGGCGTTCACGGAATGTATTTTTTGGACAAGTAATTGAAGGTGAGTATCGTGTGATGCCTACAGAGAAATGTCGTCTACACTGGTGTCAAAAGTTATACCATGGCTTTTTGGAGTGCGCGGACATACCCCTTCGATCGCTTCTGAGGCCAACCCTGCATTGGGCCTAATCGGTGCGGCTTGGCATTCACGGAATGTTTCAAGATAATTACTTGCAGGTGTGTATCCTGTGATTCCTACAAAGCAATGTCGTCTACACTGGGAGTGTGCGGACATATCCCTTTGATCGCAACTTCTGAGGCCAACCCTGCATTGGGCCCAATCGGTGCAGCTTGGCGTTCGTGGAATGTTTATTGGTAATTACTTGCAGGTGTGTATCCTGTGATGACTACAGAGAAATGTCGTCTAAGCTGGTTTTATGGCTGTTTTGTGAGCGCTCGGACATATCCCTTTGATCGCAACTTCTGAGGCCAACCGGAGTCGGTGCAGCTTGGCGTTCATGGAATGTATGTTTTGGACAGTTAATCGAAGGTGAGTATCCTGTGATGCCTTCAGAGAAATGTCGTCTACACTGGTGTCAAAAATTATTCCATTTTGAGTGTGCGGACTTTTCCCTTTGATCGCAACATCTGAGGCCAAGTATCCTGTGATGCCTACAGAGAAATGTCGTCTACGCTGGTGGCAAAATTTTTCCTACGGCTTTTTGGAGTGTGCGGACATACCCTTTGATCGCAACTTCTGAGGCCAACCCTGCATTGGGCCCAATCGGTGCAGCTTGGCGTTAACGGAATGTTTTTGGGAAACTACTTGCAGGTGTGTATACTGTGATGACAAGAGAGAAGTGTCGTCTACACTGGTGTCAAAAGTTTTTGGAGTGTCCCTTTGATCGCAACTTCTGAGGCCAACCCTGCGTTGCGCGCAATCGGTGCGGCTTGGCATTCACGGAATGTTTCAGGATAATTACCCGCAGGTGTGTACCCTGTGATTCCTACAAAGCAATGTCGTCTACACTGGTGTCAAAAATTTTCTACGGCTTTTTTTGGAGTGTGCGGACATATCCCTTTGATCGCAACTTCTGAGGCCAACCCTGCGTTGGGCCCAATCGGTGCAGCTTGGCGTTCATGGAATGTTTTTTGGTAACTACTTGCAGGTGTGTATCAGAAATGTCGTCTACACTGGTTCTATCACTTTTTTGACACGCTCGGACATATCCCTTTGATCGCAACTTCTGAGGCCAACCCTCCACCAGTCGGAGTCGGTGCAGCTTGGCGTTCACGGAATGTTTTTTGCATGCCCTAGGTGAGTATCCTGTGATGCGTACAGAGAAATGGTCTACACTGGTGTCAAACGTTGTTCGGCGGCTTGTTTTGAGTGCGCGGGCATATCCCTTCGATCGCAACTTCAGCGGCCAACCCTGCATTGGGCCCAATCGGTGCATCTTGGCGTTCACGGAATGTTGTTTGGTAGTTGCTTGCAGGTGTGTATCCTGTGATGTCTATATAGAAATGCCGTCGGCACTGGTGTCAAACTTTTTTCTATGGCTTTTTGGAGTGTCCCTTTGATCGCAACTTCTGAGGCCAACCCTCCACCAGTTGGAGTCGGTGCAGCTTGGCGTTCACGTTTGCTTGAATTAGGTGAGCATCCTGTGATGCGTACAGAGAAATGTCGTCTACACTGATGTCAAAGTTGTTCTACGGCCGTTTTTGAATGCGCGGACATATCCCTTCTGATCGCAACTGCTGAGGCCAACCCTGCGTTGGGCCCAAGCGGTGCAGCTTGGCGTTCACGGAATGTGTTTGGTAGTTGCTTGAAGGTGATGGTCCGTGATGGTGTTCACGGAATGTGTTTGGTAATTGCCTGTTTCATCATTTTCCTGCTTGTGGAGGCGGCTGTGCGTGCAACTATTTTCCGGTGATCACCAGGCCTCTGCAAATGATGGTGATGGGTTGGCTGTCGGCGCATCTTGGCATCTGTTTAAAGCTGGGGATGAGTGCAAAGTAGCATCCACGGGCAGGACTATGTCACCAGTGTGCTCGGAGATGTTTCTGTGCTAAAGTGCTACCTTTGTTTGGAGTAGAAGTGCTGGAAGTGCTGTGTGTGGACATATTCCTGTGGTTGCAATGTTTCACCTTTCATGAAGTCCATGTTGCTGGAAGCGAGGGCGATAACGAGCGTCCGTGGATGTGTGCTATCGGAAGGCCCTTGCTCAGACATGCCGGCGATTGCTGCATCTCGATACAGCATGTCAGCGTGGCTGAAGCCAATGCTGCTGGAAGTAGTTGTGCTGTTGGATGTGCCCGTGGATATTTTCTTGTGATTGCTAATTCGAGCGCTGCATCCAGCTCTGCCTTTGCAGCTTGGCTGTCTCGGTGCTTGCAGATTGTGGAGGTCAGTGGGAGCGTGAATGTGACTAGTGTGGATGTGTTCCTGTTGATTGGAGGGATCTTGGCAGTCTGTTGCTGTCAGATGTGCTGAAGTCAGTGTTGCTGGAAGCTTAATGAACTAAGCAATTACATCCCTGGAGTCCCCATCCCCAACCCCTACTTTCCCAAACCTTAAGCCCTGATCCTGTCTGCTAGCCTTTGCTTGAGCCCATGTTGTTGCCCTGACAGGAACGCTTTCAGGATCCCTAAAGGCTGTAAACCCTGCACTGCCTACGTGTCCCCTGCTCCGGCCTCTCGGCCTGCAGGAAAATCTTTCGCGGCGATGTAGGCTGCGCCTAAACGTTGGATCCTGACCTGTTAACTGCAAACCGTCAACCCACAACTTGGATCTGAGTTGCTGTGTCAAGAACAGTTTTGTGGTCCGGAAGATTCCAGACATTCTTCCCTCCAGAGGGTTCAAGGTAGTCGCACTCTTCTGAACAGACATCATGCGTGCGTTTGCATGTATGTCTGCATGTGTCAATGCGTCCAATTACAGACGTCTGTCTGTCCATCTCTGTGCCTGCACATCTGGCTGTCTGTCTGTCTGTCTGTCTGTCTGTCTGTCTGTCTGTCTGTCTGTCTGTCTGTCTGTCTGTCTCTTTGTCTGTCGTTGTGTGTGTGTGCGTGTCCGTATGCATGCGCGTCTGTCTCGTTGTCTGTCTCTCTGCCTGTTTGCATGTCTGCAGTCTCTGTCTGTTTGTCCGTCTATGTGTGTGTGTGTGTGTGTGTGCTTGCATGCATGTCTGCATGCCATTCTTTCCGTGTGCCTGCCGTTTGTTTCAATGTACCATGTGCTTCTACGAATGTCTCTGTGCATGTGTCCGTATTTTTCTTAATGTACTTATGCATTTACGTCTCTGTCTCTACATACTCTGTATGAATGTAAATAGTGTAAATATATCCCTATGCATGCTTCTGTCTGTATCTCCGAGTGTCTGTGCACGCATGTATGTGTGTCTCTATGTTGCATGCTTGCTTGTATGTCTGTCTCCATGCATGCATCCACTACATGAACAAGTCCAGGGAATATCCAGAGATTTTCCATTTGGCTTGGAAACCATGAACAACTACGGATGGCGGTTGGCGACCTATCCGTGGCAGGCGAGCATCGCCACTCCTTAACCCTACGGCATGACATGAACTGTCGCCGTGCGATTTAAGAGTTGAGGGTGTCGGTGTTCCGATGTCGACTCTCTCAACATCCGCCGCGCCCGAATTCTAGTGGAGAAGCCAACCCCGTTGCACCCAAAACATTGGCACATGCTGGACTCTGAAGTAGGAAGGGTCTCCTGTTTCCTACAGTTTTGCTGAGTCATCCGCTCTTGTGAGTTTTTTTGGGTGCCTTGACTTCCCTGTGTTTTGCTTCCTATCCATGCCTACTCTCACCTTCTGGAATCTACGTGCACGCATGTGTGCACATCAATAATTTGGGTGTGTGAGGGTATCACATGTCCAAGCCTTCTCTGCCGTGCCGTGCCTCTAAATCAATAGCGTATGCGTGTCTTTCGATAGATGCAATTAAATGTGCCTGCATACCCCAATGTACGTGTTTCTGCATGTGTACCTGTACATGTGTATGTGTCTGTCTATGTCTATGTGTATAAGTATGGACATAGATGTTAAACACATATACACGTCTATATGTGTATATAAATATAGATATAAACATGTGTATATATATATATATATACTGATACGCAGAAGTACGAAGGCATATATACATATACGCATGTACATATGCATGCGTATACATATATATATATATATATGAACTATGCCATGCAGTGTCAGTGCGCTGACGGTGCCAAGTGGGAGCCAAAAAAAAAATATATATATATATATATATATGTATATATGTCAAAAGTTGCGCTGGCTGTGCTGCCCCTGCGGTACCTTCCAGAGTCGCTGGCCGGGTTTGTCCCACTGATGCTGTAGTTTCTCTCACATGCCCTCACGAATGGATGTGCTTGGTGGCCTCAACTGGTCGGGCTGCTGTCGCTTCAGCAAACTCGACCGCCATGTTTCTAGCTTCCGGCACGTTTTCGGCTTCAGGCTGGGGGCAGACTGAAGTTTAGCTTCGGCGAACTCACGTGTCGAATTGCCGCGTCAGGCACATTTTCGGCATCAGCCTCCGGTCAGGCCGAGTTGAAGCTTCAACGAATTCGAGAGCCGAATGTCGGCGTTAGGCACATCTTCGGCGTCACGCAGGCTGCGGGCAGACGGAATTTAGGCTTCAGCGAATTTGAATTCGAGCGCCGAATTTCGGCGTCAGGCACATTTTCGGCTTCAGGCTGGGGGCAGCCCGACTTTAAGCTTCAGGGATGTCGAGTGCCGAATTTCGGCGTCAGGCGCATTTTCGGCTGAAGGCACTGAGCTGATGACAGCCCATCGCCGTGCGCAGGTGGCCATTTCCACATTCGGACAGGCGACCAGTCTCAGCGCCGAATGTAGGCGTCGAAAGCATTTAAGGCGTCGGCCCTTGGTGAACCGAATTTAGGCTTCAGCGCCGAATTTAGGCATCAGGACCATTTTCGGCTTCACTCGCTTGCCGGATCGAATATCGGCGCCGAATTCGAGCGTCAGCCGACTTTCGGCTTCAGCCAGCACCGACCGAATTTAGGCGCCGAATTCGGCTTCAGAATTTAAGCTTCAGGGGGGTACGAAACTGGGATTTTACTTTTTCGGTCCCTGCATACATACATACATACATACATACATACATACATACATATACATATGCATAAATGCGTGTATATATATATATATATGCACACGTGTGGACACAAATGCCTGTGTAACGCATACACGTACAGTCGTAATTCACGAAACCAACATTACTGGCTTTTTTGGCATGGGATCGCATTCTAGTTTCGAGGAGCAGCTGGAAAGTGAAGCGGAAGAGGAAGCTGATCTCATGGAGAAGTACAACTGCTGGTGCAAGGAGCGTTGCTGGATGCAGAGCCAGCAGGCGCAGTCGCTGATCCTGAGCAGCGAGACTTGCAGGAGAACGGCGAACAAAAAGAGAAGGCTTGGCTGGACAAAAGTTTGCCTGACCACATCAGTGCAGCGAAGTGTCGCCAGGCCATTCTGGAGGCTCGGGCCAACATCAAGGACTGTTCTGGGGCTTCTTGGGGCCAGCCTCTCGCCGAGGAAAGGTGGGAAAGGTGCATCATCTGCTGCCAACAGGAATGGGAGACGCGCATCACCGAGCTGACTGGCATCAGCTCAACTCTGGCAACGGAGTACAAGAATTTGCCTCTCTGCATGTTTCGGCACAACCTGGCGGGTCATTCATTAACCCCTCAGCACACTGTCGCTGTAGAACAACCAGCGGAACACACATCAACATTTGGAGCAGTTGCATTGAGCTACGCAGTGGGCGTGTGATGTGAGTTGTTCCATGGGTTGATGGGTCGGCGATGACTCAGCAGCCGTTGAGTCCTTGCTGGTTTCGCTGTCTTACGTGAGGCAGCAGGAGGTTGACAAGAACGAGTTGTCATTGGACGAGTCCATGGCTTTGCGCAAGAAGCAGGCGGGTGACAGTCCTTGGTCTGCAAATGAAACGGTTTTCTGGGTTGTCTAGTGTCAAGGTGGCGAAGTTCCAGGAGGACGAGCGCGAGATGTTCAATAATCTGAACTCTGTGCCAGATCCGCATGGCACGGAGACAGCATCCTTCTGGCTCTCTTTAGCTGCGAGGGCACTGCCGTCGTCAGTGTGGCAGCCAAGGTGCGTTCGGCCCAGGTCGCATTGAACACCTCCTCCTTCCCCTCCTTCTTGCCACCTGGCAGAGGAAGCAAAGGCCTTGCAAGAGCAAGCAAGATGGTATCAACGCTGAGGCAGCGGCCAGCAGACACTCCGATCCGTTTGCTCCGAGCCGTGGCGGAGAGGCAGAGCCCAAAGAGCCATGCGGCACGTCAGAGCAAGAGAGCGCATGAAGGCAAGCGGACTACCTGAAGTCTGAGAGCCGTCAGCAGCTCATGGCCTTCTTGCAGGATCCAACCTCAGGCCTGGGCCTGGAATTGACGTCTCCGGATCATTACAGTCTCAAAGCAGATGAAGGATCTGTGCGAGGGGTCATCGACGGACTTGAGACGGACTTTGAGGGCAGTCTGAAGGACGGGTTTCGTCTGTGCCGAGGTCGGCGCGGCTGAACAAGCTTGAATGCAGTTCAATTTGCCAGGAGCTGCAGGACGAGGAGCTTCAGAACAAAGCTGCCTACGAAAAGCTCGTCTCGGCCAAGAGATCCCCGACTGATTTGTTGGCAAGGTGCTCCGAACAGCTCCGAAAACCAGGTTGCAGTCATTCGACGGGTTCGAAGCCGAGGGAAAGAAATCGACTCGGCAAAGGTGCAGATCGCAACCAAAAAGGTCGGGGCACCCATTCTGTCTGCATGCTGTCGCGCTTGCCACAGAAGATCGCGCCTTCCGGGGTCTTGTCTTGTTGCTCTAGCGACAGGCAAGAAACCCCAGCAGCAATAGACTGCAGTTCTCAACCTCTTCAGGAGGAGAAGACTGCTGCCGATGAGGAGCGCCTCCAAAAGAAGCAGGCAAACGGCCCGACGAGAAAAAAGTCCTTGCCAGTGAAAGAAGTGTGCGAAGGCAGTCAAAGATGCCAAAGGCTCCGTGGAAGAAGATCTCGCCTTCGCGAAGAAGGTTGGATCCTTTCATTACAGGGTTGTTTGTGCACCAGAGCAGTTTGCGAGCGCAGACGGTGCATCTGTGGCATCTCACCCCACTGGCAGCACCTGCGGGGTGTTGCCCGCCAAAGGTGCAGAAGCAGTGCACTGCCAAGGGGCAGGAGTGGGAGAAGCGTCAGAAGATACGCAGCGATGAAATGCAGGCCTTTGCAAAGAACTGTGCAGGTAAATGCATCTGCTAATGCTCGAGCACCAAAGCCAATCGTGAAAGAGGTTGAATGGTGACACGTTTGGGACTTCTCAAGTCGGTATGCTGAGCTTGGCGAACTGCTGACCAGGCGGTCTCCAAGGCCGTTGAGATTTTGGATTCGGATGATTCCTTCGACCTCTTCGGCAGATGCCTTAGGCAGAATGTGAAGCATCGGGCGGTCCGATGTTAGACGAAGGCACCCGACGGGATTAACATGATCCCAGCACTTCCAGGTTACTGATACTTGCCGCAGAATTGCTGAAGTGACGAAAGCAACAGAGATGGTTCCGCTTCAATTGTGAACTGACCGTCGTTAGCACTCCCGAGATCTCTCAGTGATAAGGCAAGACCATGGCACCCTCCTTCCTGCAGCTTGCCTCCAAGAAGGCCGGCCTGTGCCCTTCACCGGGGCTTCGTTTTCGGAATTCCTTATTTTGCAGGCCTCGGCTATGCCGCAGCAGATCTACGACAGACTGCTGGCATTGGGAAAAGCGCACGATGCTAGGCTGCAGCGAGGGTCTCGTGCTTGGGTTGCAGCCGACAGAAGCCTGGCCTGCCTTTCACAATGTTCGCAAGGACAGCCGTCTGGTTACCCTTTCGCTTCAAGCGAAGGTGGATGGGCTGGCAAAGGTGCCTCGGAGCATGAGACGGGGCGAACGGCAGCCCCTGTTAATGAACGGCTGTGAACAACTGAAAGAGCATGAAGATGGGGCTAGATGTAAAGTGCTAGTTCTGGAGACAGAAGCCAGATCCAAAAGACTTCCTTCGATGTACGCAGCAGAAGTCGGCTCGCAGAACTCAATAGGGCGGTCGGTAGATTGCAGCAACATGGCAAAGCGCAGTGCCAATCTGCTGGTGGCGGCTGTGGTGTCTTGCGCCGTGTACGTCCTGCTGCCG